TGACGCAGCTTTCTTTATCTTGTCATCCAGCTTAAATAGAAACTGTTTCCCTCACCATATTACTCTTTTTGTTGTTTTATCTGTGCATGTTTTATGCTTACATCTTTTGGCCCAAAAATTATTTTTCATTTTTGGTTTCCTTGACATATGGTATACTTGCCGTTTTTTAATTTTGGCTTACATAGTAAGATTGTGTGTTCTGCTATGACAGGTGTTTGGAGAGGATGAATGGTCATTTGGATTCTGTGATCAAGGAACCGGAGTTTTTAGTTGCCCTTCTGGAAAGAATCCAATGTATACATTTCGTGAATCCATTGTTCTTGGAAAAACAAACTTTTCCATCTTCAAGGTGAATCAAATACTAAGAGAACTTAGTAGAGAGTGGCCAGGGAGTTCATATGATCTGCTGGCCAAGAACTGCAATCACTTTTGTGATGAATTCTGTGAAAGGCTTGATGTACCAAAACTTCCAGGTAAATATCTAACTAAAATCATTCTGTTTTCCTAAAAGATGACCTAGTGATATTTTGGACACAATGTAAATTCTATGGTATGTATAATGCCTTTGGTTAGTCCTATGAAACTCAGTTATGGGCCTTTGGTTTGGAATCAGGTAACAGAAAAATAAAAGGGAGTTAGTGCAGTGGTGCAAAATGGGAAATAGAAGTGGAAATTGGAGATCCCATTTGAATTAAGATGGGTAGTTGAGCGATGAGATTTAGTTCTGGTGCTTTTTGTTAGTGCTGTGGGAGTGGACTTAGCTCTGTGGGTATTTCAGAAGGCACCACTGTAATACATTCGTTTTTTATACAGTTTTTCTATCCCTTCATTTACTCGTTTCTGACAGTATGCTAGACTTTACCAATAAAGTGTGTGGTTGAAGTACTGTTTCTCTCAGATAAAATGTAATACTTTGAGGAAACTCTATTCATATTAAATAGTTATATGATTGTTATCTTATTGTAACTCGTGTTCCATTCAATTAAACTTTTTATTAATGTTATCGGGTTTCTATAGAACACATCTATTTAGTTCAATATACCTTTTATATTGAAATAAATCCCTCGGATTGCAAATATATGTATTGATAGGAAGTTGGCATTAGGAAGATAGTTTAGTCAAGGCAATGATCCATCTTGTGAATTATTGCTTCTGTTCTTTACTTTTTTTCATCTTCTACTTTGTATTCTTACAGCTTCCATGACAGGTTGGGTTAATAGATTTGCGAATGCCGGCGATACTGCTATGGAAGTGGCTGGAAACACTGCATTACGGGTACGAAAAAAAGTTCATAATACACCAAGTTATGGTGTTGTGTAAACTATTTGTTGGAATTGTCTCATCATAACCTGTCTCTTGTTCTTTTGGCTTGAACACTTATTTAAGTAGTTATAACTTATCATTAGTATTGACATATTTTGAGAAACTCAAAGTTGCACTGATGATGATTGTAACCTGGTGATTGCAGTTCCGGCAAGCTAAAACCGAGATTGTGTCAGCAAGCAAAGTAGCATACCGGTTCCTCTTAGGTGTTACGAATAATGTTACAAATAACGTTAAGAATGGTCCCGAGTCCCCTAACAACAATTCAAACAGAGGAGGGTCCCCTAGATTTCAAACTGCTTGGTTGAAAAATATGATCACTAATGGTGCAAAACCATCTACCAGTTCTGAAGCTGAGGATCAGAATGGAATTACGCCTCTACAGCCAAAGCGAGAAGATGAAAAAGCAATGCTACATAGTTCATCTTCACACGATAGTTGAAGGCTTAGTTATGCTGTGTAATGTAATTTGTAAGAGTCACAAAAAGTAAACAGAATTTTACATGCTATTCATTTCTGTATTAAATGTAAAATTTCGTTCCTTTTTTCAACTCAAATCATGTGTTACTGATGAACCGCCTGCACTGTTTAGTTTGTCNGTGTAAACTATTTGTTGGAATGGTCTCATCATAACCTGGCTCTTGTTCTTTTGGCTTGAACACTTATTTAAGTAGTTATAACTTATCATTAGTATTGACATATTTTGAGAAACTCAAAGTTGCACTGATGATGATTGTAACCTGGTGATTGCAGTTCCGGCAAGCTAAAACCGAGATTGTGTCAGCAAGCAAAGTAGCATACCGGTTCCTCTTAGGTGTTACGAATAATGTTACAAATAACGTTAAGAATGGTCCCGAGTCCCCTAACAACAATTCAAACAGAGGAGGGTCCCCTAGATTTCAAACTGCTTGGTTGAAAAATATGATCACTAATGGTGCAAAACCATCTACCAGTTCTGAAGCTGAGGATCAGAATGGAATTACGCCTCTACAGCCAAAGCGAGAAGATGAAAAAGCAATGCTACATAGTTCATCTTCACACGATAGTTGAAGGCTTAGTTATGCTGTGTAATGTAATTTGTAAGAGTCACAAAAAGTAAACAGAATTTTACATGCTATTCATTTCTGTATTAAATGTAAAATTTCGTTCCTTTTTTCAACTCAAATCATGTGTTACTGATGAACCGCCTGCACTGTTTAGTTTGTCCTTAATTGATGTTTGATGTTGGTGATGATGATGATACAACAACGCCTATTTTATCTCTTCTACTAATTTGGTCTAACGTTGTTTTCGACAAATTATTTTAGTGAATGCATCAGAAGTTCATAAAAATAAAGTCAAGAGGAGAACAACAGTAATAGGTATTGTTTCGGTCGGGTTTGGTATGATCATACTAAAACACTCTTGATTGTATTGAAGACTGGGTGGATGTTAAAGACCGGACGGACGAACACAGCGCTTTAGGATGAAGACTGGGCGAGCTTTGTTCCAAGCGGGTGACCGTTAGGATCTGGACGAACGTTGAAGTGGACGGACGTAACTCGTTCTCCCTCCTTCTCCAAGCCGGATGTGGGTGTACCTGTTAAAAGTGTTCCGATGCTCAAGTCAGTAAAGTGACCGAACGGTTATAATAAGTGATGCAAGTAGTGCATAATGTGCAGCGTGTGCAGTCTGTCCAGAAATCATACCTGAGACTCTTATTTACACTGGTTGTAATGAGCTTTTACCTTTCGCCGGCCTAATGACGGCACAATCACGCCTTAATCTTCATAGGGGCTTTAATGAGTTATTACTGTTTATAATCCAACCATACGGTCGGCCTGGTGGTTGGTCGGCCAGGGTTGTTGGCCTAGTGGCGGCCTAAAGAATAGTTGTCCGGTCAGGACCATGTGGTCGGCCTGGTCAGCCAGGGTTGTAAGCCTGGTGGTCGGTCTAAGAATCGTTCGACATAAGGGGTAGGAAGGACCGTACGGCCTAAGGACCGTTCGGCATATGGGATAGGGAGGACCGTACAGTACATGTACCATTAATATTTAAGTTTTCTCTTATTGTGTCCTACCATATCATTTTATTTTATCAAATTATATTTGTAGTTAGTGAATTTTGAAGGAGAAAAATTTAAAATTATTTATTTTCAACTTAAAGGAGAAAAACTTATTTTATTTTAAACTATCAAATTTGAGGGACTAAAATATTTTGAAAAAATGCTTTTAGTTTTCAAACTATAAATCGGAGTTCTAAAATCGTATGTTTTATTTTTCAAATTTGAAAGACTAAACTATTTTCTTTTCTGTATTATAGTATTATTCCTTGATTAATAATTAAACCAACAGAAGCAAGAACCTATTAAAATGTGATGATGAGCTATGCATTCTCTGGTCTTAGAATACAATAATGCTTATTTATTTATAGAGTATGGCAAGACTTCTTTTGTTGGTAGCTTTGAATAAAGATTATCAGTTCCAACGTTTCTAACTCTCCAAGGGGTGTGTCTGTGAAGTGTATCTTTTAAATATGCGGCTAGTAAACCAAAATTCAGTTAGACCTAATTTTCAGGCAGCCAAATGTAATTAACAGTAAAATAAAGATGAGCCGAACCTACAAGAATAAGTCCATTTCTCTTAATGATATTTTATCATTTTTATGATGTGAATTAGACAACTTTCCATTAATAGTGCACCATTTCCCATTAAGAAAGATCTTACAATTGGTATGCTTATCTTGTGTTTATTATATACATCAAACCACATTTAGGCCTAATCATTCCATTTCATTTCCATATATTCTGTTAACCATAAAACATTTCTGTTATACCGTACACAACTTGTGTAAAATTGTAAAATGCTCAAGAGAAGTGTTTTAATATGTTAGCTAGAGGATAAATAAAACTTAAGAAGCCAGTTATGTGAAACACATTTTAGCATAGAGATAAAATACGTTTGAGTGACATTAGTAAAAAGAGGCACCACAGACCTATTACTCGAAGACATGATTATTTTATCACTTCTTAATCTCATACACTAATAACACCCATCAATCTCACTCTCTTAGAACTAGCCCCTCTTTGTGAGTGTAGATCAAATACAAGTTTGTCCCATTGGACATGCCAATATGTTTCTCAAGGATTTTTGTTTGATACTTGTCCAATATGCCAACTCGATTCACATTCTTCATCAATTAGACTATAACAAACTACTACTTTTCAATCTTAATTAGTGTCTTCATGCTTAAAATTCCACCATCAAAACAAAATTGATGTGTAATTGACTTATGTTGTGGATTAATTTCACAAATATATTTAAATCACTTAATTTTCTTTTAATGTGAATTTCAATCAGGAATTCATACATTTTTCTAAAAAACATTTTCTTTTGTGTTTTTTGGATATAAGGGTGGAATGGTGTGTGGTGAAAAGAAAAAGTATGAAAATGGAGAAGATGTAGAAGGATATGAAGATAAGTTGAAGTGGCTCACTAAAAATGTAAATTGCAAGAAAAATATATTAAAAATGATAGAACAAAAACTTGTAAGGAAAATTTGTGACAACGATGATCCAACTTGACATTCATCGTTGAATTTGTCATTTCTCTTGTTCGTAACATTCACATAATATTTGAATTATACCCACAATTTGGCATTTATTTTATATTTGAATGATCTATTTATATTTTCTCTCCTGACAGTTAAACCAAAATAAAACAAAGAAAAAATTACCTAAATTTGTGATAAAGAAAAAATTACACAAATTGTGATAACTTCCTAAAAACCGCTCACATTGCGTCGGTTGTACTCATTCTTCCTTCGATCCAACTTTATTCCTTTCTGGACTCTGTCCAGTACAGGCTTCTCTCAATGCTATCTTCCATGATACACTAATTGATGAGCTGACTAACCCTTCTTTCATTCCTCTTCCTCGATTTCTTGCGTCTTGATACATTCCTCTCTTACATCATATCATTCCCTTTGACCCCTTGTCTCGCCCCTCTCCTTCGATGCCCTTAACAGCAGTATAGTATACCAGAAAGAACTTAGCCCAGTACTTACGAACTAAGATACCAATAAATGTTGAACATATCTGAATCTTCACTTTCTCTCAAATGCTCATAGAAAAAATTTAAAAGCAAATTAGTTTCATAGTTCCTTTCATGATTATGATCCGCAGTAAGAAAAGCATGCACTTTGCCTCCAACTTCAATCCAACTGCTACCTGGAATCCTTTTCATTCCTTTTTCCTTCATCTCAGTCCTTACGGTAGCAACGTCTGACCACTTACCTGCTGCAGAATGAGCATTTGACAACATCACATATGACGATACGTCATCAGGATCTAAAGACAAAATCTTGCTTGCTGCAAGCTCTCCCAACTCCTTGTTGGAGTGGATTTGACAGCCCCCAAGCAATGCCTTCCAAAATCCAAGTCCAGGGTCAAAAGGCACACTCCGAAGAAAATCTTCAGCTTCTGCAAATCGTCCAGAGCGAGCAAGCAAGTTAACCATGCAAGCATAATGCTCAGACTTCAGTAAATTGGGGCTCTCAAGCCTTGCCCGATTGAAATAAGAGTAGCCCTCATCAACAAGACCAGCATGATTACAAGCCCAGAGTAACCCGAGAAGGGTAACCTCATTAGGTTTATATCCTTCAAGACACATTCTTTCGAAGAAGCTTATCGCTTCGACACCTCTTCCATTCTGTGCATAACCACAGATCATGGCATTCCACGAAACTATGTTCCTTTTAAAAAGCTTGTCAAACATTAGCCGGCTGTCGTCCATGCTTCCACACTTTGCATAAAAGCTGATTAGAGAATTACCAACAAACTGATCGACCTTGCCCAAAAACTTGATGGCGCATGCATGAAAACTTTTTCCAACTCCAAGGGAAGCTATATTTGCAGCTGCACAAATCACACACGGAAAAGTAGATTCATTTGGTATAAATCCTTCTCTAAGCATGCCAACAAAAAAATTCACAGCTTCTTCATTATGGCCCGTTTGGCTGCACCCACCAACCATCGCATTCCACGAGACAACATTCCTCTCAGGCATTTCATGGAAAACCTGCAGAGCCTCTTCAAATCTCCCTCTCTTCAAATACCCACAAATTAGAGTTGTATAAGACACCACATTGGGGTGTAGAGTATCTCTGAAAGCCTTCTGGGCATCTTCTGCAGAACTCAGCTTGAAATACAAATCAAGAAGAGGAGTACCAACAAATGCATGACAACTAAGGCCAACCTTCATCGCACAAGCATGAAGCTGCCTCCCAACAACAACATTTCCAAGTGAAGTGGAGGAGTTAAGCACGGTTCCAAACGTGAACTCATTGGGTCTGATTTCCGAGGCCAACATCATACAGAAAAGATGGATAGCATCTTTATAGCAGTGCCGCTTAACGAAACCTTGAATTATGATCGTTGCTGAAGCAACAGTTAGGTCAGACATTTCTTCAAACATTTGGCAGGCAACATGGAAAGTGGTTGAATCCAATCTATATGGATTAATGTTTTTGTGTATAGCTGATGCTTTATGCTTATTGGCATGATGGGTTTCAGTAATATAGCTACAAGTAACAACATAGGGTGAAATCCACGTGTGAGCAACGCAGAGTCTAGAAACTATGTTTCTCAATTGAATCTTCATTCAATGTTATATAGAAGTTTCACATTGATGTTGTTCCCTCCCAAATCACAACCTTTTGCTGTACCCCAGGAATTGTGTATTTTGTGTTGTATTTTTCTCAAATCAACGTTGTGTTTTCTTGTATTTACGTTTTCCCTGCACATGTAATTATGGGTGATGGATTTGGTTATATAAACTCGAGTTTAGTAAAAAATAAAAATAATATTAAAATTTTATTAATTATATATGTTTTTTTTTTCAAAATCAATATATAAAAATTGTTGTAAACAACAACCAATAACAGTAGAAAATAAATTCTGTGTCCTATTTATTTAAGGTAACAAAGGTTAACTATTTTCAATTTGAACTTGTTAGATAGATTGAATCACATTGATACATGTTATATTAAAATAATTAATTTCTAATATCAAATCAAGAAAATATAAAAGGTATTAAGGTTTCAATTGTAATTAAAGTAAAAAAATTATATTAACAGTTCATTTATTACTTTTTATTGTAAGGAGGCACAATAACGTTTAACTTAACATATTTACCTGACAATTTTGTTGGTCAATATATTTTTGTAGTCAATAACTTTTTACACAAAGCTTTTTACCTTTCTGATGAAGAGAAATAATAAATCTAATAAATTATTTGTTAGTACTTGATTCATGATTTTGTGAACCTATAATTTAACATTTTTCTGAATTTTTTTTTTCATCCTTTTCAATCGATGATTTTACTAATGTATTTTAATTCTTATCTTAACATTCTAATTCACCATAATAACTCGACATATTTTTCTAATGTAATTTTGTTGTGCACACCATAATATTCTTAATTCAACCATACTTCAATATTTCTATTTCATATAAAGAAAACTAACAAATCAGCAATAAATCAAAAAGATTAAACTATGAAACAAAATTAAAAGAAAAGTTAATTTCTTTAAATGATTTGAATATAATGAAATACGAGTAAAATTCGAAAAAAAAATGATTTTTTATTTCAAAATTATTAATTTGCTCTTAACTTCAGAATTTATACGAGTTTACCTTGAGTTTAAAGAGTTTATCTGAAATCTAATTGAAAAAAAATAATAATAATTTTTTACTCTTTCTTTACCTATAAAAGACCATAAACGCTTAAAAAGAATAAGAATTAATCATGAGTGTAATAACTTTGAATATATCCAATAAATAATTTAGAATATTGAAGATATAATAATTTTACGATAATAAATAGAGAAATTTAATTTTAGAATGATTTAATTTTGCACACGTTTTCTTATTTTCATTCTTGTTTCTTTTATAATCAAATTTGCTTTATTTATAGAAAATTTAATCAATGTCTAACTAAGGATTATGTAACATCTTATTTTACTAATATAAAATTGTAAAACTAAGTGTTACAAACATGACGTCTGTTAAGAAAATCTAGTGATTTCTAAAAAAGAAGACTTACACTTAGAAGACTAACACCTAATTATGTCATTGCTTCACTCTCAACCCTTCTCAACCCTGCTGTTGGATTCATTATTTAAAGTTATCATTGTAAAAGAGAAAACAAAACACACAAACAGACAATACAAAAAGAAGGGTGAGCTAAAATACCAAAAGAGTATACATACATTTTAAAAACAATAACATTACATTCATAATATAAATCAAACCATACAAGAATAATCATATCTACTATAGACCTCGACCCATTCGAATACATGTATTGATGTCAGACTCATGGGAAACCTGCACCTGTGTAAGGTGGAGCAACTTGCTCAAAAATAATAATCATAACCACAATCACCACTTTAGTGTCATACACCAAGGTTAATCCATTAAACATTTATGGCTAATAAATGACCATCAGACTAAGGACCTCTTACTATTATCCATGACATAACTACCCATTTCTACTTGAGATTGAGAGTTATTGAGAGTGTCCGACTAAGGACCTCTTACTATTATCCATGACATAACTACCCATTTCTACTTGAGAGTGAGAGTTATTGAGAGTGTCAGGATCATCCCCCAATCTATAAGTCCTTACTTCAATAGATTACACAACATAACAACATTAGGATATTTATCCATGAAATTCCTTTTTACATCATACTTAAATCCACACTTTACATTTCATTTGAACATCATCATACATTTCTACCGTATGTTTTCACCATACTTAATCATATGCGTAGTCTCATGTAAACATCATCATACTGTCAACACCCCATTTCGTCCGGGTAAATTAATAAGAATAAAAATTAAAAGTAAAGGTAAAAAACAAAAATAAGAGAATAATAATTAATGGTGGGTAAAAAGAAAGGAAAAAGAAAATAATAAAATGATTTTCCTTAATGCAGAACACATCCCTAGAAAATAATTTTTTGATATGGTAATAATTTGAATCAATATTATGCCAATAATTATAAACAGTAATTAAAATAATATATTGATATAATTTGTTGCTTCAGTTTTCTTTTTAAAGAGAAAAATATGATTTTTGAAATGGACAAATTTTCTGACCATAAGTATAATCAATGTTTTGAATATTATTTGATTTGTTTTTCTTGCAACCAAGACCATTTCTTTCACTTTTTTGTTCACTGTGAATTAATTCACAATTAAGGCAAGATTACTGTAATATGACCATTGCTTTCCCTTTTTTGTTCATTATCAATTAATTCACAATTAAGGCAAGATTATCATAATATTACAAGTTGTGTGTATATATATGCATCCGGTCATAGAAGAGAAGAATGGGAAAAAAAAATAATAAAGAGAGACATGAAAAAATACTAGAAATAGAAAGAGAGAAATAGAGTATAGAGGAAAATAAGTTCTCACACATAACTATCAACGACAACCACCAAGGAAGAACTAGGAGAGTACCGAAAGCTAAAAAGGTATGTCACATCTACACCATTCTTTTTCTCTTTTTTATTGTACTTTGAAGTTTTTTTCTAAAAGGTATTATTTTTTATTACACACAAATAACGTTTTTTAAAAATCATAAAATAAAGGGGCACGTGTTGGCCCTATGACCGGTTTCTTTCTTTTCACAACCATTCTTAAAATAAAAAAATACAAAATATTTAAAACCAAAAAGTTTCAATTTTATTAAACTAAACTTTTTTTTACGAGAACTACGTGATCCCTGATTTTTCATCATAAATGGAGATACGTAGGAGCAAGGTCAATCTTTGTCGGTTCACTTTTCAAAAATCTAAATCAATCCATAATAATTTTTAGGTTTAATCATTTACAACATCCCTATTTCTATAGGGTTTTCTCAATTAGGTCCTCGTATTGTAAAATCTCTCAATTAGGTCCCTGAATGTGAAAAATTGGATCAATTAAGGGCTTGCCGTTAATTTGGGTGGACGGCGTTAAAAAATGTTGTGCGTGGCAGGGTGATATTACTAAGTTTTACTGATGTGGCACACATTGGTCAGTGAGTTGGCTTTCTTTTATTTACATATTTAAAAGACATGAATGAAATCAAAACGCAACGTTGCAAAAAAAAATGCAACACCCGTGGCATGGCCGCACCCATCAGTGCCACTCGCACAGCCATCATCAACCACCGCGAGAACCCAGAACAACCATCCTTAACCACCACGGGAACCCATAACAGCGAGAAAGGACCCTCAACGCAAAAAAAAAAAAAACAATGCAGAAAGGAAGAACCCAAAACGAAACATCAAGAACACAAGAAATTCCCATAACTCAAACTCAGATTCCAATTTGAAACCACCAAAATCATAGAACAGACAAAACCCTAAATCGCAGGATCCAAAACCCCAAATTCACAATTTCAGAAACCTTAACCCCAATGTTGCAAAAGAAGAACTCCAATTCGTATCCCAATCTATAGAAAAGAAAGCAAAAGCAACCCCCAGATCGCGAGCCCAAACACGTTCTCCCTTCGTCGCGAAGATGCTGGAGGGCGAGATCCTCGCGTCACGAAACGTCGTGCTTGAGCCCCTTGAAACTCGTCTCTCCTTCCCTGTGAGAAAGCCTCAAACAGAACCCAGGACGGGGAAAGTTGAAAGAAAGGAACGAACAACGCGTCATCACGATCTACCCAGAGAATACGAAGACGTTGTCGGGTCGCGCTCTCTCCACGTTGTCATCATCACCGCCATTTGTCCCAGCACGAAACGCAAAAGCCCTCTTCTCCTTGCAGGACGAACTAGAGTAGAGGAGAGAAAGGAAAACATTGCCTCCCTCTGTAAGACGAACAGAGCGCAATGAAATAAAAATGTCGCGTTTTGATTTTCATTGAAGTTTTTTAAATATGTAAATAAAAGAAAGCCAGCTTAGCGACCAATGTGTGTCACGTCAATAAAACTTGGTAATGTCACTGTGCCACGCATAACATTTTTTAACGCTGTCCACCTAAATTAACGCAAGCCCTAAATTGATCCAATTTTTCACATTCAGGGACCTAATTGAGAGATTTTACAATACGAGGACCTAATTGAGAAAACCCTACAGAAATAGGATGTTCTAAATGATTGAACCTAATTTTTAAACAAATTCACAAACATTTTTCTAGATAAAGAACTATGTGATCCCTGATTTTCCATTTTAAATGGGTATACGTAGAAACAAGGTCAATCCTTGTCGGTTCATAAAACAAAAAATATTTTTTGTTTTTTATTAGTTTCTTTATATAATCATTTTAAAGGAAAATTAAATATTTTGAAAATCCACGTCAACTTTATACATTTAATTAAAGGTATTGCTTTTGGACAGACGCAGTAGGGTGCTAATACATGTCATATGCGTAACTGATTCCCGAACTTAAAATCTAGTTTTCTTAGACCATGCCTTATTTTTCCATAGTTTTTTCAGAATAAATTATTGTGGTGACTCCCAAAATATTTACCCGTTGTCCCGTCGCAATCCCGGTTGCGGTGCAAAACAACCAACAATTAAAAGTAAGCAATTAAATGGATTCCAAGAATGGAGGTACTCAAAAGGATCCTAGGAAATGCTCTAGAGTAGATTCAGAAATCAAGAAAACTGATACAAGTCGCATGGACATCAAAATCAAGTTCAATTCAAAATTAGAAAAACTTTTTGTGAAAATGTCTGAAAGAGCTTTCACTTACTAATGCATCAGATTTTAAGTAAGAATGGCATTGGTTCGGTCAGCTTTTTAAAATGAACTCTA